CAAAAGCCTAAATATAAAATAAAAACCTAATTTGTACTTTCTATTTAAGTTCTTTTATACTTAAAACAAATGAATTTAGCTCAATACATACAGGATTGGAGCAGTACCTCTAGACGCTTGCAGAAATCATGATCACAAAATAGACAAATATCGTTTTTTTCGCCGAATTTTACATTTTTCCTTGATTATCGTACTTGATTCGGTGTGAAAAGATGAAAAGATGAATTAGACCTGTTAAAGTCCATTCCGTTGGGTACAAAGACAAGAATTAAGCATTTTATCATTCAAGCGCCTTGTCCGGTATATACCGGAATACGGTATTTAGTGTGGTGCTCCAATCCTTTTTTTAGTCACAGCCAAAACAAATAGGGTCATTTTACTTGATAGGTTTTGTATTTTCTAATCGCAGATCAGTAAATACATAGCTAACATCCACGGTCTAACACAAATTTTCCTAACAGACCTAACAACGCATAGTAGTTCTCACTCAAAACTGCTTAAAAACCAGCAATTTAAAAGAAAGAACAATTTTTTGTTACAAGTGTCCAACAAATTACTACACATTCAAACTTTAAAAGTAGCGTTGGCTTATAGAATTGTCAATAAATGCACACTCACAAATTACGCGGATGAATATGATTGTAATCAATGAAAATGCTATTTTTAGCGATGTCGATTACCGAATACTACACAAATAAATCTGACTGCCGAGTAGTTGAATATATATAGTTTCTACATGTCGGACTGTTTGGGCTAAATTATTTACTTCTATTAAAAAACAGATGTACCCTGAACAAAATACCTCGAAATTACCCTAACCCGAAATGCAATGGAAATTCTAAATTTAGAATGATTTTATTTTATTCAGCCACTGTTTTTATAACTTCTCCGTGGTGCAGGGGTAACGCGCTCGTTAAGTATATGAGAGGTCTGGAGTTCAAATCCCAGTCTAATCAACATTTTTTAATTCTTTTTTTAGTGTCTTTGTTAAGGAAATAACCACGATATGCAAGGATAAAGTGTGTGGCTATCATAAAAAATGAACATAAATGATTTTTTGATGCAATTCTAGTTATGCAAAATTCCGTATGTATCAAACTCTGGTGCCCTGCAAGATGAATTATAGTACATAACAAGAAAAGCATTGATGCAAAGCATCAAAGGGCGTCCAAGCAAGAAATGCAGCAGGTGAAAACTAGTAGATATATGATTATAAACTTTTCAATGGTCAATTGGTTTTTACCAGAATGGTATATCACTTATGAATGAACGGACGAAAGACATTGTTCATTAATAACTTTGATTGGCATGCTAGAGATTAGAATATTACTTGTTATTTCTTTATGATCGTGGTTATTAATGGCAGATTTTGATAAAAAAAAAATACAGATTTTATGAATATTGTTTTCTTTTCTTTTTTGGTTTTTATGCTCTATTTTAATACTGAGTTTTTACGTTTACTACTATTTAAAGAATACAATTGTCATATTGACCGACGATTATAAGTAAAAACTTAACTGGAAAAAGTCAGTAAATTATGGTTAATCTTTCAATATATAATATTGTTTATTCTTAAACCATGTTTATTCTTATACATGTACATTTGTATTTTTCTTTATCATTTTATAAATTATCAATCAATTGAATAATTCATAAAATTTAATTTGTAACTAATAATTCCTCGGCATCTTTACTAAACACGAATAACAAATTAGTGTCATATTAATACCATAAAAGTGTACATTTTTTCTCAATTATTGTACATATTTATTGTTTTTATCTCCTAAAGATAAAATAAAACATGCTATTGTTGTTGTTGTTGGGTTCTTTTTTTTGAATTGTATATTTATGTATAATAATAATCAATAAATTTGAGAGCTGATCTGTGTTTATTAATTATTGTAACCAAACTAAGTGACAAGCATTCATTTTGAAAACAAAAACTTATATAACTATAAAATATTTGTTCATATCAAACATCTACTCCAAAACCGGGAGAGACCGGACAATAAACGTGTGGTACTATTCGCCGGTCACTAGTAAATCCCGGTCAAAATAGACCAGAAAAGACCGGGAATTACCGATAGGAGTACCTCCCTCTATAAAAAGATTTTCGGAATATTTAGGTCATCAACTCATCATTCTATTCAGCTTTCGGATTTATGTACGATAATAACCCACTGTGTACTACAAAATGATCAATAAAAATACTTCGAAGAGCACGATTTATTGACGGAAAAGGTTATTTCATTTGAAAATGTTTGCATTGCGAAATTCTCCAGTTCGCTATTCATTGTATATATCGCATTTCATTTTTAATTAATAATCAAGCACCCTCATACTGATCGAAATGATCGGCTTTATTATGTCCGACTAAAAGGCTCGAGAAGTTGCTGTCGCCCTTTCACAAAATCTAAGTTCATTCCATAAGAGGCGCCGCGCTTCGGCGCGGACGCCAAAAATAAACTTATACAGGAAAACACATACAGATATACAGTACGATTTAGATTGCAAAAATCAGAAAATACCACAGAGCTTGCAGCCCTTTGATTATACTTCTACTGAGAACATGTATAGTCCTATTTAGTTTTCAGACATTAATTGTAAAAAGGTATTTTATCTCTCATATTAAGGAAAATGAGAGTACTAATTAGAATCCTTATTTCAAATGAAAAGTCCTTAATAGACTTTCAAAACTCCTAAAAGGAAGTAACAAAGTGTTAATGATGCTTTTAAAACTTCTGTTTTTACAAGTTCAACAGTGTTTTTAGATTTTAATGACTTTGCACCAGACGGTTCCATACCAAAACACCTTTGGAAACGTTGTCGTTTTTTTCCAGAGATTTTCGACCATACGACCACATACATGCATCGATGACATATAAGGAAAGTAACAGTGCGACCATACGCAACGCAGGATTCCCCTTCTTTGACGAGAAAGGGACAAATTGTTGTCAGTTATTTTATACAATAAAGGGCAAACTTTAAATATATGCCATTACCTTGTTGTTACTGATAAGGAGGCTTATTCTAACAGATATGGCTTGAATTTGTTTATATACAACAATAGTAACGCAAACCAAGCTAGGAATCAGTTTACGTCCTTTTTAGTCCGTTATGAAATTTAAAAAAAGTCAAATAATTACTTGGAAAATTTTGAGTCTAATTTTTATTTACTTTTCATTCCATGCATTTTACGGAAGTGTTTTAAGTTTGCAAAACATAAACGTTTTAATTAAATATTATATATTTCACACTTTTTGCCAAAGTACGCATTGAATTTCTTTTTTCAACTTCAGTAATAAAACAGATAATGTGATGGGTTGCTAGCTTCCATTTTTTCAGAACTGTCTATCAATCTGGTAATCTAAGGGCAGACATTTCTACAGTTAGTCAGCCATTAGTACAGGGCCGGTTCAGTCTGCACAGATGTGCAGCCGCCTGACAAACATGCATCTCTATACTGGTAAAATCATTTGGGTTTCAGCGGTTTAAAGGTGCAATTGCTTTTGATCTAAGCTCATCCAAAGTTTAAACAAATTCTATTATACAGTTTTCAATATGCCTTTATGTTTATGTAATTGTAGTGCACCGACACACAGTAAACATTCTTTCAAATCACACAGGAGTCCATCAATTCAATACAATTGCACAATTGCAGTGAGTGACATTACAGATTATTTACATACAAAGAAAAATTTGATCTTAACGAGTCTATGTAAATATGTTTATAATCTGATCTGATTAGTTATTAGATAGTGCGTGAAATTCGTACCCCTGATAAAATGATTTGATCAGCTCGTGGTCGGACATTTATTTATCAGATATAAATTCTATTACACATATATTTTATCAGACATAAATTTTATTAGACATAAAGCAGACATGAAATTTATTAAACATCAATCTTACCAGACATAGAGTTAATTAGACATACATATTAACAGACATAATGACATATCTCTAACCAGACATTTAACTTGTAAAACATAAATCTTATCAGACAAAAATCTTATTAGACATAAGTAAACAAAAATCTTATTAGACATTAATCTTATTAGACATAAATCTCAAAAGACGAACAAATCTGGTTGTAAGTTTTACTCACCCGTGAGTGACAAGATAATTAGGAAGTATCAAGTTCTATCTATCAAATGCCATGTATTTTACAGGAGCAATTTCCATATGAAAGGTTTCCTGTCGAAACATACCCCCATAATGTCACTTTTTGACATATTATTGTTATTTATTGTAAGATAGCACGAACTCGTTTTCTTACGGAATCGTCTTAATCGAATGTACCAATACTAAGACATAGGAATCACATGGAAATCAAAAACTCTACAGTTTAATAATGATTATTTGTTGATTCAATACTGTTGCTTCGGTATAAATGTCAAATGTTACACTTGTTATAAAATAAAGTGTTCTGAGTATGTGGTTATGTGATACTAGTATACAGAAAATTAATAAGGTCTTATGTCCGAGAAATTCACGAAATGAGAAAGTTTCGAATTTGATGATATAAATACATATGTATTTGTATTGAAATGATCCGTAAGATCTCTTTAGTTGTAAAATTTAAGTTTTTTTTGTCAAAAGAGATCGTTCCATTTGTTGTATATATTTGTGTTTGTTTATCAGCATTAAAGAAATCGAATATGTAAGATTTAATGGAAATAATCAATGCTAGAGTGTTTAAAGTTAAACAGAAATTAACTGAGCTCGAAATATAAAGTGGGAATGACCTATTTTTATTATTATTGGAGGTCATTCCTTTTTCTTTTTGGCTGTAATATAATAATTATAATCTAAATAATTCTTAAACTCTAATATTTTATATTAAAAGCGGGTAATGTTAATTATACAGGACTTTTTAAGTCCCAAACAAGTATATTGTCTTCTTGCTTAGACGTTGATTTTTCATACAGGTCGGACCGTGGAATTATATCCCGTAAACTTGATAAAAAAATAAATCGGACATACCTTCTATTTTTCAGTGGTCGTCATTGCAACGTGTTTTACCTCTGTCACAGCGTTCACGGATGATTCTTGTAGCTCGAAGGTGATTGGTCAGAAAGAGAACGCTTGCTTTGCGCATTACAATCTCACAGAAGCCTTTATGTTTGGACTTCCTCAGCCCGCACATTTGACCCTGTTTACACACAGCATGTACAACTTATGCCGGTAAGATACTGAAAGTTTACTTGATTCTTTAAGGGTTAAATGTCAAGGTCGTTTGATTATTTTACCCAAAGTGCAAATTCGAAGCAGAAACGTAAATAAATTTAAATCAAAACACCCTTTGCTGAACTCGAACTCTCAGAGGAAGATGCGAGAGATTATAAGTCAATGTCTTTATCCACTTTTATTTTATGTCTATTTTTATTATCATTTTTGATAAACAAATAAAACCATGTTATATTCTCTTTTTGTTTTTTTTTTCTTTTTTTTTTCATTTTAATATTAGTCATTATTATATGTGTTTACTTTTTATTTTACTTTCAGAAATATTGTTAACTTGACATCATGTTTAGATGATGCGATGACGACGTGTGGAGATCCATATTTTGATTTTAGCTCATACAGCAATACAATCAACAAAATATGTAATCAAAGAAACCGTAAGTTAACCTCACATCTTTAAGCAGCATGTCCCCAGATTCATGTTTATGTTCATAGAGAATTAAATTGAAAATGTATTTGATAGTAGATTATTGTGAAATAAGAAAGGAAAGAAATTTGCACAATGCAACACGTAAATTACAAATGAGATTAAAAAAATGTAAAAATAGCCATTACTGCGCTAGTTACGCAGTAGCAATAAGGTTAATCAGTCATTAATCGCATATACCATGTTAATTATTACTTAAATTTTTAATCCGTTTACTTTTCTTAAAATACATTTTTTCAAGTTTGATTTAATTGAAATATGCTGGCTCATCTGGTGGTAGCTTTAATGCCGCCTGTTTACAGTTGGGCGATGTATAAACAAATATGAATAATTCATCATGTAAATGAGTAAACTGATGAAACTTAAATGAATAGACGAATGAACGAACCAAGGAATTTATGAACGAACGATAGAAGGAGTGAATAAATGAACGAACGAACGAACGAACGAATGAATGAACTCAAAAAGAAAAGTAACAAACGAAAAAACAAACGAATAAATAAAAAAATAATAGATTTCAGATAAATAAATAAAGGAACGAAGATACAGACGAACGTGCAAAGGGAAGGATCAATAAATCCCAAATGAACAAATGAACAAAACACCTCAAAACAAACGGAACAATCAAACGGACAAACGAATGAACAAAAAAGCAGACAAAAAATCAACTCGTCGAATACAAAAACTATTCTGCTTCGCTAAGAGAAAGATAATTTTAAAGCCAATTATAAGAATATTGATTCAGACAGACGACTCAGTTTATAGCATTGTAAATATAATTAAATAAATAAATTAAAGACAAACGCAGACGATACCATACATCATTAATAACAAACAGATATTATGTCTGTGACTTAATAGACTTGTCGGATATGAACAAAATATAGCAACATAAAAGAACTGTGTGAATAACAAATGTTTATTTATTGTAAAAAAAATATATATATAATGTTATAAAATTATATATGGTGGATAGTATAGTGTTTCGGTCCCTTTTGGGCTGTTGTCTATTTTTGTAAAGGCGGTGCGAAGACAGCCTCCACCACCAACCCAATCCCTCAACACCGAAAAATAATAAAAATGGAAAGTGTTCTTGTTTAAAGGGAGTTGGGTTTTTTTTATATAAAGGGACTGGAAATCTTTTTTTTTCTTCTTCTTCTTTTTCGAAAGTTTAGGCAATTTGATGAAATAAAGGTTCGTGAGCAAAATTCCAGATCATTATTCTTTTTGTTATCCCTGAATAATTATTTTTATTGTGCAAAATGACCCTAAAAAGGATCACTCAAACCGGTCTGAAATTATGCAAGATTAACTCTGAATACATTTCTTCATAATATAAAATACCATTTAGTCTATGCAATAATTTCATATTTATTGCTTTTGCTTTTTTACCTCAGTATAGATCAGATAAATTTGTATTAAAGTTTCAAGAAGGTCAGTAGTAAAGCACGTTTAACTGGATGATACCAAACACTTTAATTCCACACTTTGGATATTGATGAATAAAGAAGCTTAAAGAGATACCACTGAGGGGTTGGGTTTTTTTTACATGATGGGACTGGAAATATTTTTCCGAGATTTTTGTACCATTTGATCTAGGTCTGGAGTAGTAACTTGTGAGCAAATTTCATTCCTTTGCCCTGTTTTGCAAGAATAATAAATTTTATTGTGCAAAATGACCCAAATATAAAAATCGTCGCAACGCTTTTCACTCCAATTGGGCTAAGGACCACACACACAAAAAATCGATATTCAATTTAAATTTGAGTCCATTTCTTTTTTATCCTTCGGATATTTTTCCAATTTAAGTGCTTCGCATGATCCATGTAAGAATTTCAAATTTTATGTTTTAGGCTTTTTGACCCCAATTGAGCTCTTAAATCTCGATGGATATTTTCTAATGTTTTTCAGTGTTTTATGCTGCAGAGGCGCATTGTGAAATGATAGACACACTACAAACATGTATAGGACAGTACCACACAGACATTCAGGATTTAAAATATCACATCTATTTAAACAAGTCTGAAATACCACTATCAGATATGTGCACGTAAGTTAATTCATTATCGTCATAACTATTTCAATTGAATAAGCTGTCCGAATACTCTCTTTAAGGTAAAGGTAGAAACGTTAGTAACGCTATTGAATTTAATTTTAGAAATAATGCATATTTAACTTTATACGTAATGCATATTGAAATCGTAATATTTAAATTCTAAAAATTAAATATTTTAATTCTAAAATATATAGTAGCCTATATATTTACAAGGCAAAACAAAGGAATGAAATGTATTACAGATTTTTTGCGCCAAAGGTTATCGGCATTTTGTCATGACTTTTAGCGAACCACACGTAAAGAAATAATTGTGTAATATAAGCTAAAAGATGATGTAAAATTACCATACGTTCATATGATGTTTTTTCTTTATGATTTTATTAGAACAATGCCGAATAATGTTAAAGGACGAAAATAGCTATTTACCCGAATGATGTCTCACATAAAGAATTTTTAAACAAATCATTTATTTACCTGAATGATGTCTTACATACAGAATTTAAAAAAAATGTCAAAAATTGCCAAAGAACTTTTATTGCTATAAAGCAGGAAAATTAAATTATAGGAACATCAAGCTTTGATTAAATAGATAAATCAATAGAAAGTTAAATGCGTGTGTTATCTTATAATGCTCGGAATATCTTTGTCATAATCACACAAGAGAAAGAGAAAATGTATAAAAACAAAAATTGTGGTATGAACATTATCATATGTCACGCGTTGCTACCGTTACTCATAAAATATTTATTTTCATACCACTTAATAAAAATAAATCCTGTATAAATTTAAAAGAAAACAACATTGAACATCCACTATATTCTGAATGAAATATATTCATACAGCTGAGATCCTAATTATCCTTTAATAAAACTCTTTAACAGTAAACTGTTACTTCCTGATTAGATGCGTAAAATACAAGTTAATATAGATTCAGTCAGCACCCAAGCACAGTAATAATGTAAGATATTGTGCCCAGGATCGTGATATAACAAAAAGTGATATTCATTTCCAAGTTGACTTAGAGAACAAATATTACATATTCTTTAGTCTAACTAATTGACAACTCGTAAGATGACAGACTAAATTTACTAACGGAATTCTATTGTCTCTGATTTTTGCCATGTCGTATTTTCGTTCCGCGGGGCGCCAGACGAAAACATGACAAAGTGTGTACTTTGTCGTACTTTCGCTCCGCGGGGCGCAAGGCATAATCCCGAAATACGACAAAATGTTGACTGTCGTATTTTAGTGTTGTTGTCCGGCGACCTGCAGAGCGCAAATACGACATGACACAAATCAGCCACCAATGAATTTGATTTTTAAGGAAGAGCTTACTTGGGATTAACAATCTCAGTCATAATCTATTGATCTTATTAGTCGCACAGTACGATTGCCGCGCGTTTATAAGTGCGCTCAGAATGCTTTTAAGAAAGGACATTTATAACGATATTTTATCTTGTCTCAAATGATTAAAAAAAGCCACTGCAGAAACCTCTCTCTTATGTATGTTGTTTCTTTGAATTTGTAGATTACGTTATTAAATAATGTTTACTTAATGATATTGCTAAGACTTTTTCATGAAAAAAAGTGACTAAAAGGTTTCTTTTATACAGCAAGTTTACAAGTAAATGATATATTTTTGTTGTTTCAGAGTTCTTCAAAATACCCGAAATTGTTTTCATATCAACGAAACGGCCGACTGTAAACCCGAACTGAGTGAATTTCTGACGTCATTATACCGAGGCAGATTTTTGCCAGCAGTTTGTTCCAAGAACGCCGTCACCAACACAAACTGTTGTAGAAGAGTGCATTTTTCCGTTTCACAATTTTTGTTTTTATTTACATTTTTGACTTTTATAAATAAAACATTATGTCTTTATTGTTTTGATAACACCAATGTTTTATTTCATTTTATATTATAGCATACAGAGTATAGCGAATTAAGATTTAGTTCATTTCATAAATGAATGTATATATTTATCGGTAACTCGTTTATTTTCGGCCAATTTCGTCACAGTCCTTATCGTATACTTATCTGAATAACATTTAGTTGACAAAGATTTCATGTTACACGCTTATTTGATCGCTGTGAGACACGGAAAGTTGCGAAATACTCCGAAGTTTCTCGAAGACGTGACGTACGTTTCCGTCTGAATTTCTATTTGAGCATGACTTTAATACTGCACAAATGTGCATTGATTGATTATGAATGATAATTCATAATAAGAACATGTTCATTAATTGTTTTACGCACCTGTGTAAATATGATGTCACGATTTCAACTTCATGAATTTGCGATTTCAACTTCTCGAATTCACGATTCAACTTCATGAATCCGTGAAGTTGAAATCGTGAATTCACAAAGTAGAAATCGGGAAATCATGAAGTTGAAATCGTGAATTCATGAAGTAGAAATCGTGAAATTATGAAGTAGAAATCGGGAATTCATGAAGATGA